CCAGCTAATTTTTTTATTTTTTATCATAGAGATGGGATCTTGCTAGGTTTCTCAGACTAGACTCAAACTCCTGCCTCAGCCTCCCAAAGTGCTGGGATTACAGGCAGTTATGACCACCTGTGCCCAGCCACTTATTTTTTAAATAATAGCTTTATTAAAATATGATTCACATACCCTTCCATTTATTTATTTATTGAAATCTGCAATTCAGTAGGTTTTAGAGTATTCCCAGAGCTGTGCATCGATCACCACAGTCACTTTTAGAACCTTTCATTACCCTATAGAGAAATCCGTACCCCTTAGCCACTACCTCCTTACTCCCCCCACCTGCCTTGGCCCCCAGCCTTAGGCAACCATTGATTCATTTTTTGTAGCTGTAGAATTTCCTAATCTGGACAAATAGAATTGTACAATATGTGATCTTTTGTGGCTTTTTTCCCTCTTAGCAGTGTTTTCAAAGTTCCTTTATGTCATAGTGTGTATCAATATTTCATTCCTGGCTGGGCGCGGTGGCTCAAACCTGTAATCCCAGCACTTTGGGAGGCCGAGACGGGGCGGATTGCACGAGGTCCAGGAGATCGAGACCAATGTCCTGTCTGGCTAACACGGTGAAACCCCGTCTCTATTAAGAAATACAGAAAAACTAGCCGGGGCGAGGTGGGGGCGCCTGTAGTCCCAGCTACTCGGGAGGCTGAGGCCGGAGGAAGATGGCGTGAACCCGGGAGGCGGAGCTTGCAGTGAGCTGAGATCCGGCCACTGCACTCCAGCCTGGGCCACAGAGCGAAGACTCCCTCTCAAAAAAAAAAAAAAAATATATTATATATATTATATATATATAATATATTTCATTCCTTCTATGACTGAATAATACTCCGTGGTAGAGACACACTGCATTTTTGTTTATCTGTTCATCAGTTGGTGGACATTTGGGTTGTTTCTGTGTATTAGCCATTATGAATAATGGTGCTGTGAAGATTGCTGTACAAGTTTTTGTGTGGACATATATTTTTATTTCTCTGGGATATATGCCTAGGAGTGAAATTGTGGTATTATATGATGACTGTATATTTAGCCTTTTGAGAAACTGACAGTTTGTTTTCTAAAGTGGCTACACCAGTTGGGTGCAATGGCTCACACCCGTAGTCCCAGCTACTCAGGAGGCTCAGCTGGGAGGATTACTTGAGCCCACAAGTTCAAGATCAGCCTGGGCAAGATAGTGAGACCTTATCTTGATTTTTTAAAAAAATCCAATTAAAATGACACGAAAAGAAATACCCAAAGTGGTTACATGATTTTATGTTCCCACCAGTAATGTATGTGAGTTCCAATTCCTCCACATCTTCGCTGACATTTTTGTTTTTTTCTAGACAGGGGCTTGTTCTGTCTCTCTGGCTGCAGCACAGTGATGCCATCACAGTTCACTGCAACCTTGATCTCCCAGGCACAAGTGATTTTCTCATCTCAGCCTTCTGAGTAGCTGAAAATTACAGGTGCATGCCACCATGCTTGGCTAATTTTTATATGTTTTTGTAGTGATGGAGTTTTACCATGTTGCTCAGGCTGGTCTCTTACTCCTGGCCTCAAGTGATCTGCCCACCTCAGCCTCCCAAAGTTCTGGAATTACAGGCTGAGCTACCATGCCCGGCCTTCACCAACATTTGTTATTATCTGTTTTTTTTTTTCTTTATCTCTTAAAGCCATATAAGAACAAGTGTCTTCAATTATACTGAAAAAAATATATAAACCCAGGGCATTGGGAGGCTGAGACAGGAAGATCTCTTGATGCCAGGAGGTTTTTTGTTTGTTTGTTTGTTTGTATTTGTTTGTTTTGAGACAGAGTCTCGCTTTGTCACTCAGGGTAGAGTGCATGCAGTGGCACAATCTTGGCTCACTGCAACCTCCGCCTCCTGGGTTCAAGTGATTCTCCTGCCTCAGCCTCCTGAGTACCTAGGATTACAGGCACATGCCACTACTGCCTGGCCAATTTTTGTATTTTTAGTAGAGATGGGGTTTCGCCGTGTTGGCCAGGCTGATCTTGAACTCCTGACCTCAGGTGATTTGCCTGCCTTGGCCTCCCAAAGTGCTGGGATTGCAGGCATGAGCCACTGCGCCTGGCCTGATGCCAGGAGTTTTAGACCAGCCTGGGCAACCTAGCAAGACCTCGTCTCTACAGAATATTTAAAAATTAGCCAGATGTGGCGGTGGCTGCCTATAGTCTCTCTCTCTCTCTTTTTTTTTTTTTTTTTGTCACTTTTTGAGACATCGTCTGGCTCTGTCACCCAGGCTGGAGTGCAGTGGTGCCCATTATGGAACAGTGCATTATGGAGTGCAGTGGTGAGCCATTATGGCTCACTGAAGCCTGAAACTCCTGGGATCAAGTGATCAGCCCTCCTACCTCATTCTACCAAGTAGTGGGGACTACAGGTGCATGCCACCCGGGTCTTGCTGTGTTTTCCAGGCTGGTCTTGAGCTCCTGGCCTCAAGCGATCCTCTCACCGTGGCCTCCCAAAGTGCAAGGATTACACGTATGAGCCACCATGCCTGGCCCCTACCCTGCCTATTGAGAACCAAAAGAAGGATCCAAATTCTCCTTAACTCAACTCGAGCCATTTCCCAATTGCTTCATCAGCAAGGAGCTGGTTATTGGGCTGTCAGGCCTCCCAAGCCACACAGAAATGAGGTGAGGGAGTTTTCCTGCTGCTCCACTCTGTGAGGAGTTGGAGGATGACGTTTACTCGTTTGCAGAGAGAGATGCCTTGTAGGCACCTTAGGATGGAGGGGACCCTGATTCCAATGTCCTTTTTTTCTTTAGAAGCAAGACTTTGCTCTGTCACTCAGGATGGAGTTCAGTTGTCCTATCATGGCTCATTGTAGCCTCAAACTCCCAGTCTCAAGTGAGCCTCCCACTTCATCCTTCCCAGTAGCTGGGACTACAGGTAAGCACCATGACACTTGGGGAATTTTGGGGATTTTTGTAGAGATGAGGCCTCACTATGTTGTCAGGGCTGGCCTTGAACTCCTGGACTCAAGGGATTTTCCTGTCTTGGCCTCCCAAAGTATTGGTAATACAGGCATGAGCCATTGTGCCCACTATCTCTGGTTCTTAACCTTCTGCCTCCCTTTTCCACATTTAAGGAACACTTGTAATTACATGGGCTCACCCAGATACTGCCAGATAATCTTGTTTTAAGGTCAGCTGATTAGCAACATTAATTCCATCTGCACTCTTAATTCCCCTTCCTATGTATTTGTGCAGTGTAACATAGGACATGAGCTATTGCTGGGGGGTGGGGGGGCTGTTGTTACCTTGGCCACCACAGTGACTATTTTGTGCCAGGTACTGAGCTAAGCACTGGTTAATTAAACATGAATAACACATACTCCCTAATCTCCATTCATATATGGGAGGAGCACCTCACCTCCCATACTCCTGAGAATCTGGGGAGTCAAGGAAGGCTTCCAGGAGGAGATGATGCCAAAGCAGAGAAGTGACAGAGGAGCCGAAGCTACCCAGGAAGAGAGTAGAGGTTTAAGGGGAAGCGTATTCTAAGCAGAGGGCATCACCCACTTCAGAGCCTCCCAGAGGAGTGAGAGTGGGCATTCAGGGGGCAGATGAGGCTCAGTTGGACTCCACAGCAGGTAAAATGGAGAGGGGCAAGAGCAGTGAGTCTGCCTTGGAATGCAGGGCAGAGCAGGGGCTGTTAAGGAGTTTGGACTTAATCCCTGAGGCAAGGAGGAGTGATGTAAATGGGGGAAGAGTAACATAATGAGATTCATGGATTAGAGATGTGGTCCAGGCTGCTGTGTAGAGAAGGCATCAGGGAAAGCAGATGGCTCAGTGGGTGTACTGGAGACCTGAAACAGGGGAAACACTGAGTTTAGGGAAAGTTTTTTAAAATATAAGAAGTTTGATTAGTTTAAATGATGGTGGGAAGGAGCTAAAAGCGGGGGATAGGTTAATGATACGGGGAAGTGGGAGGAAGAACTGACAAGTGAGGTTCCAGAGAAGGTAGGAGAAGAGGAGATTCCCGTAGGAGGATTAGCACTTTCTTTTCTTTTTTTTTTCTTTCTAAGACAGGGTCTCACTATTGCCCAGGAGTGCAATGGCATGATCTTGGCTCACTGTAGCCTAGACTTCCCAGGCTCAAGGGGTCCTCCCACCCCAGACTCCAAGTAGCTGGAACTACAGGTGTGCACCACAACCACACCTGGCTAATTTTTTTCTTTTTTTGGTAGACACAGGGTATCACTATGTTGCACAGGCTGGTCTCCAACTCCTGGCCTCAAGCGATCCTCTTGCCTAGGCTTCCCAAATTGCTGGGATTACAGGCTTGAGCCACTATGCCTGGCCTCTGCTAGTTCTATATTTACTTTGTGTTTACTTTGTGCTAGAGTGTCCCTCATTATGCTGATCCTCTGTTAAAATTAATACCTTTTTTTTTTTTTTTGGAGATGCAGTTTTGCTCTTGTTGCCCAGGCTGGAGTGCGATGGCACAATCTCGGCTCACCGCAACCTCCGCCTCCGAGGTTCAAGCAATTCTCCTGCCTCAGCCTCCCAAGTAGCTGGAATCACAGGCATGCTCCACCACACCCAGCTAATTTTGTATTTTTCGTAGAGATGGGGTTTCTCCATGTTGATCAAGTCTCTAACTCCTGACAGGTGATCTGCCTGCCTCGGCCTCCCAAAGTCGTGGGATTATAGGCGTGAGCCACTGCGCCCAGCCAAAATTTAATACTTTTTATATTAAATTTACATATATATTTTTTCTTTTATTTTTTGATACCGGATTTTACTCTGTCGCCCAGGCTGGAGTGCAGTGGCACAATCTCTGCTCACTTCAACCTTCACTTGCCAGGCTAAAGCAATTCTTCTGCCTCAGCCTCCCAAGTAGCTGGGATTACAGGTATGTACCACCACACCCGCCTAATTTTTGTGTTTTTTGTAGAGACAGAGTTTCGTCCTGTTTCCCAGTTTGGTCTCAAACTCCTAAGCTCAAAGCGATCCACCCACCTTGGCCTCCCAAAGTGCTAGGATTACAGGTTTGAGCCACCATGCCCATTCTAGTTTAAACTTCTGAGTGGTTTATGTCTCCTGATTGGACTCCTACAAATACAGAATTGATGCTAGGAAGGATACCAGGAGATAGACCCACACAGATGGGATTTGGGCATGGGTTTGGTTATCCACGGAGCAGTGCTGAGCTCCTTGCCAGTGGGACATGGGATGCTGGTGATTTCCAGGAACTGACCTCACAATGACTCAAGCTACCACTTACTGTTGATTGTGATGAAATGCCACCTGAGGCATATGCCGTGTGAGCTTAGGGGTGCTACATTTGACCATGATGGCAGTAAAGATGACTCTGAAGAATGGCATGGGATGGATCCTTTGAATGCACTCAAGCAGGGGTCTCCAACCACAGGGCCACAGAGCCAGAGGTGAGCAGCAAGTGAGTGAGGGGAAACTTCATCTGTATTTACAGCCCCTCGCCATCACTCACATGACCACCTGAGCTCCATGTCCTGTCAGATCAGCAGGAGCATTAGATTCTCATGGAAGCACGAACCCTGTTGTGAACTTTGCATGTGAGGGATCTAGGTTGCACGCTCTTTATGAGAATCTAATGTCTGATGATCTGTCACTGTCTCCCGTCACTGCACATGGACAGTCTTGATGCAGGAAAACAAGCTCAGAGATGCCACTGATTCTATGTTATAGTGAGTTGTATAATTATTTCATTATATATTACAATGTAATAATAATAGAAATAAAGTGTACGATATAGGTAATGCACTTGAATCATCCTGAAACCATTCCCTCCACCCCCAGTCTGTGGAAAAATTGTCTTCCACAAATTCACTCTGTTTTTTTGGTAGAGACAGGGTCTTAATATGTTGCCCAGGCTGATCTCAAACTGCTTGACTCAAGTAATATACCCCTCTTAGCCTCCCAAAATGCTGAGATTATAGGCATAAGCCACCATGCTCAACCAAGACTGAGTTTCTTAAACCAAATAAAGATTAAGTGAGATTACTTGAGACCAGGAGGTTGAGACTGCAGTGAACCCTGATTGTACCACTGCACTCCAGCCTAGGTGACAGAATGAGACTCTGTCTCAAAAAATAAAATAAAATAAAGTACAATCAAATATAAATTAACCCTTTATAACATTCCTAGTAACTTTTCCTCCTAAGTGTTCCCCACAAGCCTTTGAATTTTGTTAAAATTTCACGTACCATTTAAAACATTTAAGAACTTATGTCTGTCTGTGTCATCCCTCTTTTTCAAAAGAATGTCTTTTTGTCACTTCTAGCTGGATCTACCATGAAAGACTTCAGAATCCAGGAAGAGAGACTGACTGGGCAACATGTTATTCAGGTACAAAAAAACTTGGACTATGACTCAGAAATGATCAAATAACAGTGCATGCATCAAGTGCAATGGGAAGCTCTTCTGGAGGGTGACAGAAGCTTCCAATTAAGGTGACATTGAAGCCGGGTCCTGAAAGATGAGGAAGAGTTGTATGAGAGTGGGGAGGGAAGGGGGAGGTGGAGGGATGGGGAATGGGCTGGGATGGGATGGAGGGAGCTGCCCAGGCAGGGAAACCAGCACTGTAAAGACCTGGACAATGAAGATGGCACATTTTGTTCAGGGAATGGTGAATTAAGTATGGTGGGAATGCTTTGGAGAGACAGTAATTTCTCTGGAATTTGCCTGAGAAAGAACGCATTACAATTTCTTTCTTTTTTTTTTTCTTTTTGCGAAGAGCTCGCTCGTGTAGCCCAGGCTTGGGGAGCGGAGTGCACGTATTCCTCCTGCACTGCCAAGCCTCCGCCTCACCGGCGGTTCACCGCCATTTTCTGCCTCAGCCTCCTGAGGTAGCTGGGCTTAACCCAGGTGCCCGCCACCGCGCCCTGGCCTGATTTTTTGTATATTTACGTAAGAACGGGGTTTCACCGTGGTCCTCCGATCTCACTGACCTTTGTGATCCGCACACTCTCAGGCTCCCCAAAGTGCTGGGAATGTACAGGCGTGAGCCACTGCGCCCGGCCCTCCCATTAACAATTTCTTTTTTTTGGTGGGTTGAGACCGGAGTTCGCTGTGTCTCCCATGGTCTGGAGTGCAGTGGCGTTGTCTCGCGCTCCC